CCCGGGGGGCTCGGGGGGCGGCAGGACCTAGCGCGGCCAGAAGATCCCGGGCGGGGGGCGTCCGGGGAGCCGGCGGGGTCTCGGTGAGACCCGGGCTGTAGTGTCCGGAGCTGCTCGGCGGCGCCCTGGGCTTCGGATCCGGAGAGCGGTCTCTGGGGGCTTTCGGGGCGCCTGCGCGCGCTGTGTGCGGGGCTGGTGGGCGCGCGCGTTCTGCAGACTCGGCCTCTGCGCAGGTGAGAGCTGGCCGCGGGGTTGTGACCTCGCTCTCGGCAGGATCGAGCAGGAGGAGCGCGGTGGGGAACTCCCGTTACCAGCCCCGCGTGTACGTGCTGCAGGATTTGTAAGGAGAATCAATCGAGTAAAGAGGGGAGGAAGATGTGTTTGTGGGAGAAGGAAGCAAAGCAGGGAGGGTGATGTACTGATGCTTGTTGTTCCTGTACGGAAAGGTTAGGGTTAGTTTTGATGCAATTGTTGACCGTCCGTAGCAGTCTGAAAAAATGATGTAGTTCTTCGTGGAATGTGGGCCTTGGATAAAATCTAGAAAATTAATGGCGATTAAATCGACAAGTCTTAAAGTATTGATATAGTAGTTTTTCTTCCCAAATAGGTGAAGTAGCACCGTCCATTTGTGGCTCACGTCTAATGAGGCTATATGTATCATTCTGAAAACTATCACACTTGTATGTTTTTGCTCTTAGGATGGCCGCGCTGGTGTCATTGCAAATGATGCAGGTGATCGAGTTACTCCCGCTGTTGTTGCCTACTCAGAAAATGAAGAGGTACTGTTTTCCTTTTTGTACTTGGAAATAATTGAAAGTTATATGCATTACGACATACTGCTCTTTTTCAGGTGGTTGGATTGGCAGCAAAGCAAAGTAGAATAAGAAATGTTTCAAATACCGTCATGAAAGTCAAGCAGATCCTTGGCAGAAGGTATGGAATTTAGTACTTTACAGTACGGCACCTAAAATGCTTTCGTTCGTTAATCTAAGTAGAAGTGAAATAAAACTTGAAGTAGCACAGCTTATTTTGCTGCTATTATAATTGAATCAGAGAATACCCCAGTAGGTTCTTTGATTTTTATTGGCTCTTAACCAAGGAGGGGATTCACACAAATGCTTGATTCTTCCTGACAAGTCAGTCAGTATTGGTTAATACCAACACCTATTTACATTTGACCATTCGTCTCATTGGGAGGTGGTAATGTTCACATTTTTATAGTTTTTAGCCAAGGAACCTGATAGATTCTGTGGAAATTGAAAGACTTCCTTACATGGAGGTTGAATTTTGCAAGATCTTGTAACTGGTCACAGTTTATGTGGAGGCTGTTGATTTTCTTCCTTAAGGCCCTTTGTGAGGCTTTCAGGGAACTAACTTCCAGTTGGCTTACAAGTTTAATCGTTAGAGAAACAGCTTAAGTAATGTCTTATGTAAGAGTCAGGTTAATCATTTGGTGTAATTTTAATTAGAAGATTAAAGAGGCTTGCTTCCCCAGACTTCTGTCTCCTCAGATTATAGATTACCCTAATAATTAAGGGTTTTCATTTTTACCAGAATAGTACTACTTGATAGAGTGGTTTTCAATTTTCAAAGTGCTTTCACATCTATTATTTTATTTAAGCCTTTCAACTTCTGTAAAAATTGATAGGGCAGGTACTATCCCGTTTATAGATGAGAAACTCAAGGTACATGGAAGTGTGGCATTTCTAAATTAGAGAGGTAGAGGAATTAAGACTACAGCTCAGCACTTTTAATCCTCACACCTAGGTTCTGATCTCCCTCCTCTCCCCTCCTTGTGCATGCTAGGCAGTTGCTTTAGCGCTGAACTATACCCCAGCCCTCCTACCGTGCTATTTCATTTGAATGCAAGTCATTTCCTTGTATTGTTTTTAGGGTTTGGAGGTCATATTTTGGATTTAATACTCATTTCTTTTACACATACAGACACTTTTATATTTTTTTTTCTTTTGGTAACTCTAGAAACTGTAGTATTTTGAAGAAAATTGAAGTTTTTGTGGTGGTAAATGTATTTCTGTGTCCTGTACATGTTGATAAAACATAGTACAAAACATACTAAAAATAAACTGTTTGGTGTCAGATATTTTTAAATTGTATATTCTAGGAAAAAGCAAGGAAATGTAATAGATCTTGGAGCCAGAATTACTGGGTGGCTAACAATTTATTTTTTAATTAAACTTTATTCTGAGATAACTGTAGTTTCACATGCTGTTTAAGAAAAAAGCAGAGGCATTTAATGTTACTGGATTTTCCACTTCCTCCATTGGTTATAAAACTGTAGTTTAATATCACCAGTAGGAAACTGACATGAATATACTCAAGATTCAGAACATTTGTATGAATCTATATCCCCTGGTAGTCAACATGTATTTTTCTTTTATGCTGCTATTTGGGGGCAGATGGCTAGAGTAATGATGAATCTGACTTCTGCCTTATGCTCAAAGTTTTCTAATTAGCAGAATGGCTAAAGCTTATTTTTCTGGCCCTGAGAGTTACTTGTTAGCAAAGCAGCACCAGAATGGCAGTCAGGTGAGTGAGCCACAGCTTGATACCTGCTATAGGCTTTCGAGTTAGTTTTCTCCCAGCCCAGGTTATTTTCCTACTCACCTGCCTACTCACCAGACATTGCTGGTTTTCACAGACACGTAGTTGTACCAGTTGTCAGCCTTGGAGGCATTTGGCCCTTTTGTTACCAAACTATTGAACCCTTAGTCCAGTGCCTACCTTGGGTGAACTCCTAAAGTAGGCTTTCTCAGTCCTCGGGCTCATGCCTATTTATGACCTACTCTTGGGTAGCACGGCTTAGCTTGCTGCCAAAATAATCCTTACACCCTCCCTGTAACTCTCATTCCCTGTGGCCTTCTAGCCAGAAGTGCGGTCCTTGGACCTGACTTCTCAGCAGTTAGCCCTGAGAGGGAAGAATCGCCTGGCTCCTGGGAATACGCTGAAAGCACGCAGAACTTGCCCACACCTTCACATTTGTACCTTGCTGCCCAGGCGCTTGCTTCAGTAGTCTTCCCAGCCCGCTATGGCCAGTGCCAATAGCAGTGCGGGCATCCGATGGTCCAGACAGGAGACGCGAACTCTTCTCTCCATACTAGGGGAGGCAGAGTATATTCAGCGCCTCCAGACTGTGCATCACAATGCAGATGTCTATCAGGCTGTGTCCAAGCGAATGCAGCAGGAAGGCTTCCGCCGCACCGATCGTCAGTGCCGTTCCAAGTTTAAAGTTCTGAAGGCATTGTATTTAAAGGCCTATGTTGCTCATGCCACAAGTGTGGGCGACCCACCACACTGTCCGTTTTATGACACGTTGGATCAGCTTCTTCGAAATCAGATAGTGACTGACCCAGACAACTTAATGGAGGCCGCTGCTTGGGCCAAGCACTGCGATCAGAACTTAGCGGCCTCTGGCCCAGCAGGGGAAGAGGGAACCAGCATTCTGAAAGCAAAAAGGACTCAGGCAGCTGATCATCAGCCTGTCTTAAAAACAGCTAAGGAATCAGATGAGGATTGTCAGCTGAGAATCAGTGACCGGATACAAGAAACCAGTGACCTCGAGGACTCCTGGGATGAATCCCCGGGTGCAGGTAACTCCCGAGCATGTGCAGGATTGGGGTCTCAGGGTCACTTGATTCTAAACAACAAGGAACATGGGGATAGTGCTCTCTTCAACAGCCTGTCCAACCCCATTTTCAAATCTAGTAGTAAGATAAAGGGCTCTAGGTTTAAAAAGCTATAACCCTAGGTGTATAAGGTGTTAGAACTCTTGAACCTTAAAAGACACACCCTAGAAATAAACTAATTTTGGCGTTACTGGTAACAAATAGTTACGAGTATGTGGGGGAAAGTGGGTTGGATAGCTACATGGAAAGGGATTCTGGAAGGCAAGGGGGAAGTTTTGGAGAAGAGAGTTACAGTCAACAGGGCGTTGCCTGGCAAGCGCAAGGTCCGGAGTTCGATTCCTAGTACCGCCCCGCCCCCCAAAAAAACCCAGCAAGTATCATAGGCATAATGTTCAGAGTACAGAATAAGTTTTTTCCAACCCTTGGGAAAAAAACCTTCCCAAGAACAGCCCTAGTTTTGTGACTCAACTTTGCTGCTGGCTGTAGGCATTCCGTTGGCAGGGATGTCCTCTCTGCAACGTTGTTGCTTTGTTTTTCAGGGTGCTCTCAAGGGACCCCCAGCTACAGCAGCTCCCACAATCCTTTCAGAGGTACAGTTGCTCCCTGTCAGAGCAGCCCCATGACCAGACTGGGCATGTTGGGTGAGCCCAGTCCTCCTGCCAGCACCAGCCGAAACTCTCCTGGTGCAGCCTCCACGCTGCAGCCTCCGGTCTTCTCTTCCAGGCTTGGTTTTGTCTCTGCTGGGGATAGGCCTGTGGCCAGCGAGCCCCCGCCAAGGTGGGCAAGGCGAAGAAGGCGCTCAGTGGCCAGGACTATTGCAGCTGAGTTGGCAGAAAACAGGAGATTGGCGCGAGAACTTTCAAAGCGGGAGGAAGAAAAACTGGACAGGCTAATTGCTATTGGTGAGGAGGCCAGTGCCCAGCAAGACACTGCCAACGAGCTGCGCAGGGATGCTGTCGTCGCAGTCAGACGTTTGGCCACGGCAGTGGAAGAGGCCACTGGTGCTTTTCAGCTAGGGCTTGAAAAGTTGCTTCAGAGGCTGATTTCAAATACCAGAAGCTAGGAGCTGATTACAGAAGGACACGTTGCCTAAACTGGTAGACGTCTACTTCCAACACCTGCCTTCTGGTTCCCTGACTCTTTCTGTGCCTCGGAAGAGAGAGGAGATGGATCACTAATATGCAGGGTGGTAGGAGTTCACTTGTGAGTTCCACTTCCCCGAGGTCCTCACTCACTGACAGACCTTCCCGAAACGTGAGGGGTGGCCTAAGAGCAGATGGAGCCAAGTCCAGCAGCCAGTTTGTCACTGACGTGATGCAGTCTCCTTTACCTCTCTGACAGCTTCCTCGTGTAAAATGCGGGACAGATAATAAACAACTCCTGCCCTGCCTACCTCACAGGGTTGTTGTGAGGATCCCATGGCTAATGGATGGGAAAGAGTCTGAAAGCACTACACATACATAAGTTAGTAATGCACAGGACCTTGGCCGAGGCAAGGCTAGCTGAGCATATTCACGAGACGTAGAAGTACAGTTGCATACCATGACCTCGTTGCTTGAATTGTTACTAGCTTAATTTGACTTCTTCGTGGATTTTCAGATCTTCGTTTTTCAAGTCCTTCTGTGGCTCATTAGCCTGCTGTAGGCACAACATGTGCCATTTGCACCTTTGTCTCGTAGCTTCACTGCAGTGGCTCTGACAGGTCTACTAGTGAGCACTCATAGTAGTCAGATGAACATTCTAGTCTCTCCTTCATTTTATTAGTTCTTGTCTCCTGTCAAGATAAGGGTACAGTTAAGAACTGACAGGCAGCCACAGTTCTAGTATGTTGTGGTTCATATCGATAATCTGTGGTATGGTGAAATACTGGCTGTTTCGTAAGACAGTAAGTGTAAGTAAATTCTTTGCATTTTATATTATTTGGGTCCCTTTATGCGTATGTTAGATCTTTAAATTGTGGTTGCTATTTGAACATTGTGGAAGCGACTTGGATTGTATGTTTCCAGTCTGCTTTTGGTTACTTTTGTTCTTTTCTCTTAGCTGTTTTTGGTTTTGTTGTTTTGATCTAGTTTATTAAAGAGGGCAAGGCTTAGAAAACTTTGCAAAGTCACTTTTTCTCAGATTGTGTAGACAGAAGTTCATCCAGTTAATGGCAAACGGTAGAAGAGGGGAGCTTTGTTTTCCCTTTAGCTTTGAGAACACTGTAGGTGAAGACTGCCTGTGGTAAATTTTTAAGCACAAGCCCTCAGCAGATACACCCTCCACCTCAGTGCACATTCTTCAGGAGACGTGAAGCTACATTTCCAGTTAACTAGAAAGAGCCATTGCTGGCCGTCACTAAATTAACTTAAAGCTTTTAGTGGTTTACTTAGTAGTTTCAGGAAATACAAATAGGAATCTTTGGGATTTAAAGAGGAATACTTTTGGGAAATACAAATAGGAGTGTTGGGATTTAAAAGGTTTTCCTGCAATCAAGACACTGAAGGAAAAACAGCAGGTGTGTTGGGAGGGGTTCTGTTTTCATATCCCAGGCTCCAGTGCTTACCTGAGTGCTGGAAATGCACATACGTGAAGCAGTGTCAGAACCACAGTGCACCTACCACGAACACTGCAGGTGGCAGCAGGCCAGCCGCCAGGGTAAATGCCAGCTGGGTGCGTGGAGCAGCAGGGGTGGGGCACCGGGATCTGGTTAAAACTGCTGGACTCTAACCCTGGCATTTTTCATTTTATTGGGTGGATCACTTGCCCTTTGTATGCCTCAGTTTCTGTTTCTTTTCTTTTCTTTTCTTCCGGGATCGGGAATTGAACTCACGACCCCTGCTCTTGCCAGGCAGGCGCTGTGCTGCTGAGCTAAATCCCCAGCCAGCCCTTCAGTTTCTGTTTCTAAAATGACAGACTGGTACCACATATTTTTTCTAGTACCTTTCAATTCTAAAAATATTTTAAGTAACATGATTTAAAAAGACAAAAGTCAAATTTGAGTTGTGACGTTTTCAGTCACTGCAGCATATTAGTATATGTTAGAAATAATGGTAACAATTTTGTTTCAAGGGAGCGTTCTACAGTATTATGGTTTTTTGGTTTTGGGGGTTTCTTTTGGCTCTGGGAATCAAACTCAGGACTTTAATGCTTGCCAGGCAGGCACTTGTGACACTGAGCTATATCCCCAGCCCTACAGTATTAATGTTAATAAACCCACAAGCTTTTAACTGCCAGATCAGACCTACAGATTCCTTGCTTTCAAGATGCGTATGTTTGTAATCCTAGCACTTAGGAGGCTTAGGAGGCTGAGGCAGGAGGATTGTTGTGGGTTTGAGGACATCCTGGGATACATAGTTCAAGGACAGCCTGAACTACGTAGTGGGACCCTGTCTCAAAAATAAAAAAAATGTTAAGGCCTTGAATGACACACACATACACACATCTTAGTTGTTTTAGGCCATTATGTAGAAGGATGTGTGTCAGTTTTAACTGGAAATCACTAATTAGATTATATGGGAAAATGGAGTACTTAAGAGAACTGTACCATATAAATGCAATGGTAGCAGAGTGCATACATAGGCAGGGATTTATTTAACGTAACGAAGAGTCCTAAGAACAAAGGTGGAGTTACAGTTCGGTGGTGCTGTTGTGAAAAGCTAATGATGAAGTGTTACAGTGGGAATAAAAAGAGAGGGGGTCCTAACAAAGTAAACCAAAATATGCTAAGAATGTCACAGGGAGAAAGGTTGCAGTGAGGAGACGGTGTGCTGGGAAATCCTGCCTACGCTCCATTTCCAGACCCACTTCCTGGACAGCCTCACAAACCGTTCACCACTGCCTGGCTCGGGTTCCTCCCTTACGTGGGACCAGGTGATTGTCCCACCTACCTCACAGGGATGTTGTGAGGACCCTCAAGCAGATGAACGTGAAGCGTGTGAGATGAGTAGGCACTGATAGTAATGACAGAGGAAGGAGACCCTGGTGCACTGCGGGCCATGATGACTGTCGGGTTCAGGAGGGAGAGGAAGGGAAAATGGCATGCTGGGATGTTGCAATGCAGTGGTGGGATCGATGCTGTTTCCTGAAGACCGTGACGTGAACGTGGTGCTCGTGTGTATCAGCCTCCCACTACCTTCACTACCTTTGCGTTTCTGTTAAGTAATTTAATCCTAGTGTGGACAAATAAAGTTTTTACTTGTGTGTAGTTGCGGGTTTGTCTGCTGCTTTCTGGTGATCCCTGTGCTGCTGTGTCATTTCCATTCCCCGCTTTCTGTCTCCCTGCTGTAGAGTCTGTCTTGCCCGTGTGGTCCTGTGAGCTACGTGTGCTTTGTGTCCTCAGGTGAGAGAGAGTCTTTGGCAGTTGAGAAGCTGTTTTCCATTTCTGAGAGTTCTATGAATACCACAAAATACCTTTCAGAGTTAACCTAACTGATTAGTAGATAATACACACACACAGTAGGATAAATTGTCCTGGTTGCCTTACATTCTATTCTGAAGAAAACAACCCTTAAGTGTCCTGCTTGAAGTTAAGGATACACTTCAGTCTTTTTTTTCTAGTCTTAAAATACTCATCTTGGATGTAGTCTAGGTGGTTTAGTTGGAGCAGAAGGTTTAATGGGAAAAGTGCTTAACTTCTGTAATGCATGATACCATCCTATCATGGCATTAATTAACAGTGTCACTTGCAACAAGCTCCTCTCCTGTTAATTGCTATTTCAGGTGACAGAAAAGAAGAACCTGAAAATATTCCAGTTCTAAGCCTGTGTAGTCCATTTTGTCTTCCTTTTGTTGACACAGATTAAGATCTTTAGGATTTTCTGTAGCCCTTCTACAATTAACCATGATTAATTTTCATTGCTATCACTGTGAAACAGTTGGTTTCTTTATACAGTAGCCATAGCTCTTTGCAAGCCTACTAGGAAGAATAGTCCATTTCATCTTTATTTCTAGGTAAAATAAGCCAAGGGTCAGAGATTCCTATCCCTTCCGGGGTAGAAGTACAGTGGTCATTTACAGTATCAGTGGGAGGCGGTGTGCTACAGTATAAACGAGTCACCTGGTAGATCAGACCTGCGGCCAGTTGTCTCTGCCCCTTAGTATGAGTCATTGCCCCTCTCTGAACTTGTTTCTCTAAAATACAGAAATACCCACCAAACTTAGACCCATTTAGGGGTGGTGAGGATTAAGTGAAAACGTTCTGTACTAGGCATGAATTGGTGTTGCTGTGTAAAGCAACGTAAGGCTCGTTGCTTTAACTTTTCTCTTGCCGTATACATGTAGTAGTTAGTAGTATCGGGCATCCCTGGAAATCCGTGTGTATGGGTACTGTGGTACGTTGCACTATATACCGCGTTCATGCTTGGGCTCTGTCTTTGGTTTTGGATATTGATTCTGTTTAGAAGCCAAGCAGCAAAGATGATATTAATGAGATCTGCCCTCAGCTTGCAGTCTTAGCTCCTTTCTGTCTTAGTGGTTGGGATTCAGGATCATAGTGTGAAAGTCTGTACAAAATCAGTGACGTGATGAAAAGTCAGTGCAGCATGGTCAGCACAGGAAAGGGTACTTTCAAAAAAAATAAAAGGAGAAAGTACTTTCAGATGGAAAGATTAACACATTAGGTGAATTACTGTAACCATCATAAATGCTCCATTTAATTCTAATTTCTGTGGTATTTGAAGACTTACTGAGCAGTCTAATCTGTTTAATATTTGTTGACATCAAAAAGCACAATCTTTAAACCCTGTATAACTTGATACTAATTTTAATACCTAGTTATCTTTCTTTATATCTTTCTCTATGGACAGCTCTGATGACCCACAAGTTCAGAAATACATCATGGAAAGTAAATGTTTAGTGAGTATGATTCTGTTAATTGCTTCCTTGTTATACAAAATGTCGAAGGTCATGACAGGTAATGTTGATTTTAAACTTTGCATTTTTATTAAAATTATTCCTTATTTAGCCCAACTGTAATTTCTTTTATAGGTCGTTGAAAAAAATGGGAAATTACGATATCAAATAGATACTGGAGAAGAAACAAAATTTGTTAACCCAGAAGATGTGGCCAGACTGATATTTAGTAAAATGAAAGGTATTGAGCAAAAGAGCAGTTAATTTTAAGTGATCTTTTAAAAGTTGGCCTTTACAGAGTAGGAGTCATTTTGGATCTTGTGAGAAGTGACTGAGCAGATTAGCAGTAAGACAACCTAAACTATGTACCTGGTGTGGCCACTTTCTGGCCTTGTGACTTCGCCTTCTATGACTTGCCTTCCATGACTGTGGTTTCACTTAAGTACTAGTTGAGTCTCCCTCATCTGAAATGCTTGGGACCAGAAATACTTCGGATTTCAGGGTGGGGTTTTTTGTTTGTTTGTTTGTTTTTTGAGGTTTTTTTTGTTTTGTTTTGTTTTTTAGGATTTGGGCATATTTATATAGCTCTTACTAGTTGATTATCCCTAATCCAAAATTCTGACATCTGAAATACTCCAGAATTTTAACCCTGTAGAGCACTGATTTGGAGCATTTCAGAGTTCAGAGTTTCAGTGTAGGTAACAGAAATAGATTGGGCCAGATTAACACTCTGAAAAGTTGTGGACATTTAGCAGCCAAGTAAACATGGCAAATACTTCTTTCAAGAGTAACAGTAAACTCTCAACAGTAACTTAGCCAGATGAAGTAGGTCTGGCTTTATCACCATTTTAGACGAAGTGCAGTAAGTTGAGCAGTGTTCTTCGGAACAATTTGGGAAATTCTGGAGTGGATTATTTGCAAGGCGCATTTCGCTCTGGGGTTGTTAGGAATCTGTGAGATGAAGGCAGCCCTTCGACATGCTGAGCCTAGTCATGTGTTTCCGCCTTGGCTCACCAGAAACCTGTTCTCAGGGAGCTAATCTGCTGGAAGACAGTTGGAACTTTTTGGACAGTACCTCGTTCTAGGTCCATAGCTCTCACCACAGCCGTTGTGAAGTATAGGAGGTATTGCATGAGTTAACTCCAGAAGAAACTGACAGGCGGGGAAATGAAGTGAATTTAAACATTTGTTTCTTGAGGTCTTTGGCATAAATTAAGAAACATTGGAAAGTATTGCTTGACATTTTTTTCTGTCAAAATTTTTATGTTTTTGCTACACATGGTGGCACATGCTTGTAATCGCAAAACTCAGGAGGCAGAGTCAGGAGGATTGCTGGCCACCCTGGACTACATAGGGAGTTCAAGCCCAGCCTACACCGTACAACAAAACCTTGTCTCAAAAAAACAAAACAAAAATATTTATTTTTGTATTTTTTAATGTATAGAAACAGCACATTCTGTGTTGGGCTCAGATGCAAATGATGTGGTCATTACTGTTCCATTTGATTTCGGAGAGAAGCAGAAAAAGGCTCTTGGGTAAGTATAATATGGAGGGTTTTTTTCTTGCTTAATTAAAAGAAATGCAAATTTCGTATTTCATAATATCATAAAATTTGAAAATACCTTAGCATAATAAAATTGTATTGTAAATACTTTAGTATGGTGATAATCATTATTTCATTTTATGAAATGCCAAAAAGTCATAAGATTAGGTACGGTTTATCCTCCTACCTGTTTTCATGGGAAATTTTCAAAATTACCAGGTTAAACTGGTGTTTACAAATCATTGCCTATTTTATGTAGTTAAGGTTTATGTAGGAATTATATAAGAATATATAATCATAGAAAACACTTGTAATTATTTCTTCATGTTAGATCATAATATTAAACCAAACAGTTACATTGTTTTTACAGGTGATGAGGCAGGTGTAATTATCAAGCACACATGCCTTTACTTTGCTGCATGCGATTCTATTTGGGATTTTGGCAAGCACTGAAGTGATACCGCTCCCCCTCCGTATTAGCAATTACTGATCCCAGGGCCTTTGCACTGAACTACATCCGCAGCCTGTTTTTATTTTGAGATAAGTTCTCACTAAGTTGCTAAACTGCTCGGAGTGAGCTCAAGCTTGTGATCTTCCTATTTCAGTCTCCCAGATACTATGATTACGGGCGTGTGCCACCACACCCAGCTGAAGTTGCTTCTGAGAGAGAATTGCCATAGTTTAAAAATTGTGACCCTAGATTTAAAAAATTGTAAATTCTATAATGTTTCATAGATTTATTTTACTCCATGGGCATTTTCTTCCTCGTTCAACTAGTATCTGTTAACTGTCTTTGCTAATTAAGCCACATTGTACTCAAAGTTGAGTACACAAAGACAAGTAAAACATGACCGATCTCACAGAAGTATCAGGAGAGTTCGGTAAATGTTTTGGATGGGAAATTCTGTGTAACAAGGCAGAGCACCCCTCCTCAACTTGGAGAGCCCCAGAAGACACCACCACCCCAAAAAAGTGAACTTTTTTTCAACATGGCCACTTCTAAGAGCTTTACTTTTTTTTCTTGGTACGGGGGATCACAGCCAACCTCAGGCTTCCCAGGCAGGCTCTGTGTGGCTGCGCTGCATCCCCGCTTTTTTCTTACTCAGTATAAGCATGTATTTTCTTCCTCAAGAAAACGGACTCTGAACATTGTAGTGTTAAACAGAAAGTGAACTGTTACAGAATAACTTCCATTTCACTTGTTCTATGTTCTTGCTTCCAAAGATTGTTGCGCTTCTTGTCCACTTGTTTTGGAATCTTACCTGCTATTGCATAGATTCTTTAGCACAGCATTTCCTAAAGTGTGGATTTAAGGTGTTATGATACTTAATTCACTAAAAGCAAATTGTTCACAGAGAGGCGGCTGGAGCAGCAGGATTTAATGTCTTGCGATTAATACATGAGCCGTCTGCAGCCCTTCTTGCCTATGGAATTGGTCAAGACTGCCCTACCGGAAAAAGGTAAGAGCTATTTTGCAGTTTGAAGTGTTTTCAATGTAGAGCATTATCGATTTTAGCAAGTACATCAGTCATAGTTATTCTGTAATGTAGTGGTTCCCAACCATAAAGGATGAAAGATACTGAAATTCTCACTGAGAGTTTTTCAAATAGTTGAGAAAAAGTGCTGTAAAAGCAGAGAAAGGACATCACAGGAGGGAAGGACTTTTCTGCCCTTCTCTTACTGCCTTCGTTTTGCCCCTTTAGTAGAGGAAGATCTAGAAGTTACAGGTCTGGCCCACTTCCAACACAAGCTAGGAAGGGGCTGGGGATTTAGCTCAGCGGCACAGCGCCTGCCTGGCAGACGCAAGGTCGTGAGTTCAATTCCCAGTACCAGAAAAAAACAAAAAAACAGAACAAACAAACAAACCAACGCAAGCTAGGGCACAGCATTGTCAGCAGTTCCTGTGATCACACATGTCTAGAAACAGTGAATCTGTTTTATGTGCGTTGGACTCGACAAGAGATGAACAGAAATCCTACATGAAGATTCAAGACTTCAGACCTACTTAGCCCTAACTTAGCTGTCAACACTGCTCTCCAGCAGTTGGCCATGAAACTTGGAGAAATTAATTCAGACATGGTGTTAACTTTCCCTCGTTACTTTACTTCACTCAGTTTCTCACAGTTACAGAAATTAATATGTATCCATCATTTAGAAATTATTTTTAGGTAAACTAGATAAATACAGAAATACAAGATTATAAATTTTGATACAGAAGAAATAGGGAATTAGCTTTTAGTTTTGTACCTACAGAACATGTAGTAACTTGAGTAATATTAACTCAGAATAGTACAGTGTTAGGTTTGGCACCAGATAGAGCAAGAGACAGAGGCAGAGAAAACAAGCCTTTATTGCCCGCGTGGGAGGTTGCAGGAGCTTGCAGGGACCCTCGGAGGAGGGAGCTGGGGAACAGGTTTGTATTAGATTGAACAAGAGGTGGAGTTAATATGGGCAGGCGAGCTGTCTATCTCAAGGGGACTGGGAGTTAGTCGGCGTGTGTGCTAAAGGGAGTAGGAAGTTTATCCCAGGGTCTGAAGAAGAACAAAGAAGTGTGTGTCCTGGCCAGTGCCATTTTTGGGATTCTGGATGTCTGTCCTTCCCACCTTTTTGTTGTTAAGGGGTGATGGCTTTTTCATACTGCTTCCTGCTGACGGGGGGCATCTTGATGGGGGCTGTTGTAGTCTTTGGGATGATGGGTCAGGTCCATGTAGAAGCTGGTACCTGGAGTCTCGGCCAAGACTAGTAGCTGTCTGGTGGTGAGGGCTCGTAACCTAAAGTGGAGAAAGCTTGAAAAAGATTAACAAAGGCAGGGTGTTACAGGCAACAGGATGATGACCATGATAAGTGGACCAAGGATGGGAAGTAGGATAGGTGCCCATGAGTCAAGAGCTGATCCCCACTAAGAGCGGGTAGACCAGTGGGTCATCTCTCTGTGTTTTCTATCCAATACTCATGAAGCTTTTTTACCTTATCCATAACAGTACTTGATTGGTTGACAAAAGAGCAGCATTCTTCTCCCAGCATGGCACACATTTCTCTTTTTAGCTGTTACAACATCCAGTGCCCTGTGGTATTGGAGCACGACTGCTGCCAGGGAGCTGATTTTGTTTTGGAGGTTGGCTGTGGACCCTGAGGCTTGTTTAATGCTGTCAGCCAAATCTGTTGATACCTTTGAGTAGAAATGGGTGGCTGTTTTATTTATTTTATTTACTTAAAAGAGACCAGCTGTGGTATCATTTAAGGCCTGCTAAGTATAATTAGTTAAAGCCTTGATGTGTGTCATATAACACTCTTCTCTAGACAAGATCTGGTGGATTTTAGAAAAAAGGAATCTGGAATATTGTTGTTTTTATTTGTGTGGTCACTTGGAGTTTAGCAGTCTCTAGGCAAGAATAAACCAACTTTTTTTATTATGTTACTGTTTTATATATCTTGTGGTATACTTTTCTGTTTGATGTTTAAGACCAAGTTAAAGTGAGTCCTGTATTAATTAAAATTCACTTTTCGTTATCTATCAGAGTCACTTAAATCTCCTTAGGATTTACCTTGGAACCATTTACAGTGTCTCTCAGTACTTGAGTCAGTGTCATCCATCTGGATGAGTCACGGCCATTGCTTGACCAAGTTGCTTTCTATGAAAGCTTGCAAGACTTTTTTTCCTAGTGACCCTCCTTTGGTGCACTGTGCACCGTAGAATCTCTTTTCTCCGTGGTCACACAGTCTCCTTGATCAGAGATCAGGGACTCAACTGAGTTATATGATGTTGCAACAGAGGTTTTCTTATGTCCTGAGTCCTTAATGACTGCAAAGGACGAGGGCCCAAAATACTGGTTTTCCTCTTGGCCCATCTGTCGTTCTAAGTTTTGGTCTCCAAACCTCAGTTGTTGAACATCCAGAGGAGAAGGTTAATGACATTATGTTGTAATGGGAGCAGTGAACTTAATTATCAAAATTTTACCTGAGTATTAAGCACCTTGAAATATATAGTCAGAGTACTGTTACTTTTTACCAATCATGTTTGGTTTAGTTGAACCCTTGTAGCATGTTAATAGACAACAGTTATGTAGGTTTATAAAGAGAGTTTGAAATCAAGAGCTATTGTGGTGAGCAGGAAGAATCAGTCATTGTCTAAGACTGAGGCAAGCTGTCCTTGAAAACCTGAAAGCAAGTAAAATATAACAAGATGCCTAAGTTACACTTATCTTAAAAGTTACAGTTGGCATGGGAGGTGTCAGAGCTAGCTAAGTTTTGTTATTTTGTCCCGTTCATGAATATAGTGTTAGAAATACAAGTTTAAATTTTTTTTTTTTTTACCTTTTAGAATTGCTTCTATAAGAGTAACTGCGATTGTTTTTAACGAGGAAACAATGACATACGGACTTAGAAAAATAGCACTTGTATTACTCTGCTATGGGAACACAAATTGGAGAAATATTTCTGAAACAAACTGTAAAATCAACCTTAGTGATAGCTGTAGAAATCAATTAGAAGGAAATGACAAATTGGTGTAGAACTTTACATATAAGAACATTTGTTTCATTTTTACATTTTCTTTTTAGGAAAATCTTGACATCAAAAGCCATACATGGTATTATAACATAACAGGCATGGTAACACTTTTAAAATACATTTAAATCTTCATCTTGGAATACAGTAGCCTTTTTAGTCAATCATCCCTGCCTCATACATAAGAAATTTTTATCTAATTTGTTATCTTTTAATAGGATGTCACTGCAGAAATTTGTAACATTGTCTGGGCTGTTGAATATCTAAGCATTTCTCAATGTAGTGACATATGCATCATATAAATTTTAGTTAAAAAATTAGTTAAAAAATTATCATTTGAATGTTGACCTTGTGTTGGCCTGACAATAAACCTCTTATTACAAATATCTGGAGCACAAGAGAAAGGCAGATGCATGAAACTGAAAGAAAATGTCTGTCACTTTCATAGATAATCCCAGTTTTATGTTTTAGAATACTGTACATTTGGAAGGCATGAATACATTTAACATACCATGAAATTGACAGTAATGAATTATTACTACTTTTTTTTAAAATTTAGTTTCATATCAATAGCATCTTTTAATCAGAAAACCTTATTGTCTTGTTTTTTGAAAGTTTAACCTTTTGACAGTGGCCAGTGTAAACATATTACAATAATATATTTTGAACAGTATTTATTAGAGTGTCTCTGATAAGGCTGTGGAGATTATTGGGGCTTCCTATTAATGAACAAGGACTGGAAAAATGTTTCCAGGCAGCCAGTTTCTTATTCCTCAACTGGAGTCCTAAAAGGTTTTTTTCCACCCTAAGGGACCTTTAATGATCTTAACAAATGTCCTATGAACATTGGATCATAATTCCTGACACATTAATTTTGAGCAGTGAGAGACACTCAAGTCAAAATACATAAACAACAGTATGTGTGACATGTATAAAATCAATTTAAACATCATTTTGACCAGCTGGAACCTTGGTGGCAGAATACCCGTAGACAATGGCTTAAGAAAAATCTGTTGAGCTCAAGTAAAATAGCTGTTTACAGATTGGACAGAGAGACAGACAAACAAAAACACATACCTGAGACAATTTGTTTATAATTAGTAGAGATTTCTTATATGACGAATTTGGAAAAAAATAAAACCCTTTTATCTATAATTAATATATTTTTAGTACTTTATTTTGTCTTAATACCAACAACTTTTGGGTCCCTTTCATTTATGTAGCTTTCTGCTTAATCATCCCACATACTCTGTCACCTACCCAGACCTTTTTTACTTTCATCAGTGTTGGAAGGATCGATCTCGGTAAGACTGACACTCTGTCACACATACTTACACCTTTTTTTTCCCAACAGTATTCCTAGGATCTCTCGCTGTAAGATTTACACCTTGTCACGCATGCTTAGATCTTCTTTTCCAGCAGTGTTTTTTTATCTTTTTAGATTGGAAGGCCCAGAGAAAGAGTTAGAGAATGAGAACAACACAGGGAATTGGAGAGAGAGAGAAAGCGAGAGGGAAAGAGAACTAGAAAGAGAGCATGGCAGAGAACGGGAGCAAGAGAGATGAGGGAGGGAAGAGAGAAGTGGTGTCCGTGGTCAACTAAAGTTTGTGTCAGTGGGGGGGCGGCGGAGGAAGACACGGTGGAGGGTGGGGGAGGGCAGGCAGATGGCAAGAGCCTGAGCAGGTGGGGAGGAGAGGGCCGGGAGGCGCATAGACAGAAGGGATGTTGTCAGGGGCATCGAGAGGAGCATCGGGGGAGAGATTTTGAGGGGGGAGTGGGCCAGTAGAACCTGGGGTGCTCCACACCCCTGAAGGAGAGGGGCACACCTTGCGGGCAAAAAAAGCTCGTTATGTAAGATATTTGACCATTTGCCATTGTGTAGCAGAAATTGTCTAAATCACAGAGGATACTGAAATCGAAAGTGTCCTCCTTGGGCCAGTGGCTGTCATTACCAGGTTTGTACTGAGGCCAGGCCCTCTGGCAAAAGATTAGTTGGTTTGGTTTTATTGTGTCTCTGAGACCAAGGGTTTTAGATTAGTTAGAAGATACCCAAGGGGAGTGTTTTCTGGCTGGGAAGCAGTATTTCCCCTGTTATGACTGAATTAAAGGTGAGCTGAAGGCAGTGAGCTGAGGGCTAAAAGCTGAGTCACAGCCCCTTGGAGGATTGTTACCCTTGTCGGGGCCTGAGCAAGCGAAAAATGCCCAAATCTGTCCTCCCAGTTGTCACCAAGAGAGCAGATGGGCATCACAAAGGACATGAGAGAGAGAGAGTCCTGGTGTGGGCCCACAATTTACAAGAATGGGGCAGGAACTCGGAGCGAGGGGTGGCTCACCTGGTGGAATTGGTGTGGATCGGTCTTGGATGTAGGCTTTCACAGCAAATGGGAGGGTGGGAGAAGAGGAAAAGGTGAGAGGGCTCAAACTAAGCGGGGGAACCCCTTAGATGCCACACACCTCGCCGGATATCCAAGTCACGGTACCAAAAATGTTAGGTTCGGCACCAGATAGAGCAAGAGACAGAAGCAGAGAAAACAAGCCTTTATTGCCCGCGTGGGAGGTTGCAGGAGCTTGCAAGGACACTCGGAGGAGGGAGCTGGGGAACAGGTTTGTATTAGATTGGACAAGAGGTGGAGTTAATATGGGCAGGCGAGGTGTCTATCTCGAGGGAATTGGGAGTTAGTCAGCGTGTGTGCTAAAGGGAGTAGGAAGTTTATCCCAGGGTCTGAAGAAGAACAAAGAAGTGTGTGTCCTGGCCAGCGGCATTTTGGGGATTCTGGACGTCTGTCATACAGGATATAATAAAATGTACAAAAATATTTAACAGTAACTTCATACTGTTAGAATTTCTATTTTTAGTTCTCTTGAAATTCATTATAATCACTAATGTCTTCCTATGGATGACTTACTTTGAAAGTTAGTGTTTTGAACTCTGGTTATTGAGAGTAGTTTTACATGTATTTTCTGCATGACAAGTTAAAAAACTTGGATTCAGAATATATAGATTCAAGGCTGAATTCATCACCAAGTCACTGTAGACACTTAGATATTCATTTGAGAGGTTCAGTTTCCTCATTTGTAATTTAAAAGGATTAAATTATTTCTAATGTGCAAACCAGCCTTAAAATGTGACTCTGTGATAAATTACACACTTTCTCTTTCTCTTGAAGCAACGTTCTGGTGTTCAAGCTCGGAGGAACATCCTTATCTCTCAGTGTCATGGAAGTTAACAGTGGGATGTATCGGGTTCTTTCAACAAACACTGACGATAACATCGGAGGCGCGCATTTCACAGCAGCCTTAGCGCAGTACCTGGCTTCAGAGTTCCAGAGGTATTGATGGCCTGGATGATGCAAACGAATGTGTTTCTTCTTGTAGTGATGCTGTGGTCCCTGGGAGAAAACGGCGAGGGGATTTAGAAAATACAGACAAGAGACAGAAGACGGGGTCAGGTGGAGTGGCCTCTTCCTGATGCGCAAGAGGACTGACTAACAGCAGTAAGGGCACTTATCTGTACCCTTGCAAAGTTAGTATCATGAGGGGCAAGGCAGCCTGTGGACTAATGACTGAAATTGTCCAGGCAGGGTGTTTCTCTCAAGACTGAAGTAGCTTGACTGCTTGAGGCACTCCGCCTCTGTCCTGCCCTCACATATATGACCATTTTGCAGCTTTAGCTGCTTCCAACGTGTCTTTTGACAGAGACCAGATAATTTTACTTCTGGAGTTATAGTATCCTTAGTGCAGAGGGTTCATCAGCCACTGAACTGCAAGAACTTGGAGCTCAAGTGATTTTTTTTTTTTTTTTTAAAATTATGGGTTGCTCTTTCTTTTTTCTTTTCATGACACAAAGGATTGAACCCAATGGCCTTTGAACTGCACTATACCCTCAGCCCGTTTTATTTTTTTTTATTTTGAAACAAGGTTTCAATAAGTTTCCTCAACTGGGCTTGAACTTGTAATCTTCTGTGCGCAGCCTCCCAGAGTTCTGGGATGCAGGCATGGACCACCCTGTGATGGGTTGCTTGTCTGTCTGCATGAAGAGAAGGTATAGGCATTGGGGCCTCGCTGGCTTCTGAACAGTCTTTAAAATTTTGAACCTGGTGGCATTACGTTGCCATCATGTTCCAGTGAGTTAGTGTCCTTTTGTTCTGGTGTGTTTTTATTTGATTTTAGTTTTTCTGAGACGAGGTCTTGCTGTGTAGTTCAGGCTAGCCTTGAGCTTGAAAAGATCCTCCTTTGCAGCTTCCCAGGTGCTGGGAGTGCAGGTGTGTGCCACCAGGCCCCGTGAATTAACGTGTTATGGAGTGTTTGTGTTAATTACTAATCTACAGTAAGAAATACTTTAGTCTTAGAACTGGTTATAATTACTCCATTTAAAATTTCAATATCAAGAATCTAATATGTAAAGATTATACTTTAGACCTTACTACTCTAAAAAATGTAGTTGAAATAATGCTGTTTTTACAAAGTTTACCAAACTTTGATTTTAAAAACGTTGAAAAACTGGTATTTTCTCACTGAAGAAAAATCTATACTGCTTTTTATTAGAAAGATAACAGAGTGAATGATCATTACTTGATGAACAATTTTAAAAATTAACTTACGTTGAAGATAGAACTTTTAATTTTATATATTTTGTGTGTGTCAGATTTTTTGAGGAACTCTTTGAGATTTCAATGATTTATTTTTTAGAGCTCAACAGATAACAATTGAACAGTGATTATGCCATGATTGTAAAGGCTGAGCTACAAGTCTGACCCACTTACATAAGTCTCCTGCAGTCTGTGTTTATCTGACCTGCAAAGAGATGACAGCTATTTTATATTCTTCAAAGTACAATCTACTATTATGGTTATACAGTACAGCAGTTCAAAGTAGAAACTAAATTGGTTACTCATTTTTCTTCAAGGGACCATCCTTTTAATTGCAGAGAATATTAGGAGAATTTAGAGGGATTAGAAACCAAGTGCTAATACATGGTATGTAGTATTGTTGATGCCTGAATGTATTATTACCTTAATAATGATTATTCAGGTTTTAGTTACATGAATTTGTAGACAATCCAGTAATTTTTTATTTTTTTATTTTTTTGGTTTTTTTCCAGTACCGGGAACCGAGCTCACGACCTTGTACTTGCCAGGCAGGCACTGTGCTGCTGAGCTAAATCCCCAGCCCCAATCCAGTAATTTTAAACTTCAAAATTTTGTACTTTTTCATTTAGATCCTTCAAACATGATGTCAGGGGAAACGCCCGCGCCATGATGAAATTAATGAACAGTGCCGAAGTCGCAAAACATTCTTTGTCAACCTTGGGGAGTGCCAACTGCTTCCTTGACTCATTATACGAGGGTCAAGATTTCGATTGCAATGTGTCCAGGTAACACTGAAGCTCAAAAACATTAAAATACCCAAAACATCTTCTATAAATGTAGGTTTGCTTGAGATTTAATAAATGTAAAAGGGGAATTTTACTGTCTTTACTTTTGGGGTCCACAGTTTTATCAGACTAATTGTTCCCCAGATAAGTAGTTGTGATTGCTTGCCCTGTTAATTTAGGCTATAATTAGCAGTGTTAAAGAAAGATGAGATGGGTCTGATTTCTTTTCCTAAATTGCAGTCCTGCTTAAGTTTGACGTGGGGTTTGCTCCTGTTCCCGTATTACTTAATACACTAGTTCACATTGTGTGGCAGGCTGTATTTTAAGTATTTTTTCCGTTTGCTGATTGAATCCTAATATCTTCCCTGTGAGGTAGGTACTAGCATCACCCTCATGTAACACACAGAGAAGCAGAAACAGAGAGGTTTCATTACTTGCCTAAAGTCACACAAGTAGTAAGTGGTGGACTTTCAGGAAAATCCAGGCAGTTTGATTTTACAGTACCTACTCTTACTATTGTACTGTCCTAAAGATTGACATATACCTTACTTTGCTGTGTCCACCATCATCAATATTTACATTTTAAAAGCTTTTATGAAAGATTTGTGTGCAGAAAATAGTTTTTGCTACCCTTACTTTTTACATAATTCAAGATAGTGCTTATAAGATACAGTATTGCACTGTTCCCCAGAAAGCACGGACAGGACAGCCGAACATTGTGCTAGGTTTTTGTTTCATATTCAATGAGAATAAAAACAGTGACCTTTGTTTAGCCAATTGAACCTTCCCAACGACCTACCAGGTAACTTTGAAACACCGCCAGACTTCCAGCATTGCAGTTACAGTATTTTGGGGACTCTCTTCTATGGAGCTGTCTTGTCTTTCCATCTTTCTACTAAGTGAACTTCTGTACTTTCCCTGGGCTTCCTGAAGTGTCTGGATCTACAGCTGCCCAGTACAGTAGCCACTAGATACCCAGGGCTATTCAAATTTAAATTAGTTAGCATAACATTAAAAAGACAGCTTAGGGCTGGGGATTTAGCTCAGCGGCAAAGCGCCTGCCTGGCAAGCGCGAGGTCGTGAGTTCGGTTCCTGGTACTGGAGAAAAACCAATAAATAAATAAATAAATAAATAAATAAATAAAAAGACAGCTTAAGTACTATACTTTAAATTAGTTAGCATAACATTAAAAAGACAGCTTAAGTACTATACTTATACCACTGTAGCTCTTCGAAGAAAGTACGTGGCCCTCCAGCCACAAAGATAGAAAAAGTGAACTGAAATCTCTTGGTGGGCAGAGGAGCTATATTTTTGTATTTTTAGAATATGCAGTGTGGTAAAAAAAAAAGAGTGAATGTTTAAATTGGAAAAATTGATTACAGTAAAAGACAGAGTGCCATCAATACCCCTCAAAATACTCCTCCTCACTTTGAGCACGCTTAGGCCATTGTTCTTGCCACTTTCTAACGGAGTTCTGGAAGCTCTGTTCAGTGTTGTGGTTGCCCTGATGGGCAGAAATGGTTCTAAATGTTTCCCTTCCATGTTCATGTTCACTTTGGGGAAAAGCCAGAAGTTGCATAGTGCCAGATCCAATGAGTAAGACATACGAAATCACACCACAGTGTTTTTATTTGACGGAAATTAGGATGCCAGAGCTCACCATTATGTTCCTGAGTACAAGGTCAGCTTGCACAGTGCCAGCAAGGTCAAAAAACCCATCCACATCATTGATTTGCTTTTTTTCCACATGAGGAGAATGGGTGATTTCCCTTGAGAACTCTAAACCGTGATCTCAGAATCATGAGCGTAGGTGAAAGTTTCATATCCCATGATGACATTTCTTTCCTTTTTTTTATTGGTACATGTTAGACATGCATAATGACAACATAGGGGATTTGTACCTATAAATGCTCTATCTTCTTTTTTTCCCCATTCCCCTTTCTTACCTTGAACCCCTCTTCCTCTCCTTATTTACAAAAGCTTCGTTTCCATTTTTTTTTTTTTGTCCCTTTCCTTTCCCCTTTCTTCCTCCCTTGTTCCCCTTTCCCCTTTCATTTGAACATTTTCTTCCCATTTCTCAATATCTGTTATACACTTTGTTTCTTATTTACACTTTCGGTTTCTCACATCAGGAAAACAATGCACTGTTTAAATGTGTGTCTGATTTCTTTAAGAGTGTGATCTCAAGGTATAGCCATTTAGCTAGAAGTATCTCAGGCTTATTCTTCCTTATGGCAGAGTAGTACACCATTGTATGAAAAAACACATCTTCATCCATTCATCAGTTGATGGGCATTTGGGCTGTTTCCAAGATTTAGCTAGTGTAAACTGCTGCTATAAACAAGAGTGTGCATATATCAGAGTGGTATGATGCCTTTAATTCTTTCAGGGAGATACCAAGAAAGGAAATAGCTGGGTTAAATGGAACCTCTAGTTTTTAGTTTTTTGAAGAATCTTCACACTGGTATCCACAGTGGCTGCACCACTCTGCACTCCCACCAACAGTGGAGAAGGGTTCCTTTTTCCCCACAGCCCTGCCAGCAGTTGTTACTGGTTGATTTCTTGATGATGGCTATTCCTTCTGGGATGAGATCGAATCTCAACATTGTTTTAATTTGCATTTCTTGAATGACCAGTGATGTTGAACATTTTCCTGTATTTTCCGTTTCTGCTTCTTCATCTCAGAAATTATCTATTCATTTTGGATGCCCATTTTTGGATTGGGTCTTTAAATTTAGGAGGTCTGATTTTTTTTTTTTTTTTTAGTTCTTTATATGTTCTAGATATTAGTCTTTTGTTTGAGGAACAGCTGGCAAAAATTTTTTCCTGCATTTTGGATTGTCTCTTCATTTGGTGGTTTTTTTTGCTGTGGGAAAGCTTTTTAATAACATGAGATCCAGTTGTTGATTCCTGTGTGATTGGCGTTTTGTTCATAAATTGTGTGCCTATACCAGTGTCTTCAAGAGTTTTACCTATTCTGTCTTTCAGCAGATTTAGTGTTTCTGTTCTAATTTTTAGATTTTTGAGCCATTTTGATTTTAGTTTAGTGCATGATGAGAGATATGGGTGTAGGTTTAATCTTCAGCATGTGGAAAGCCAGTTTTTCCAGCATCATTTACTAAAGGGACTATCTTTCTTCCAGTCAGTGTGTTTGGTTTCTTTGTCAAAGGTAAGATGGCTCAGTGTGTTTAGAGTTGTTTCTGCATCTTCTAATCTGTTCTATTGATTCTTGGGTCTTTTTTTGGCCAGTACCATGTTGTATTTATCACAGTAGCTTTGTAGTATAATTTCAAGTCAGGGATTGTGATGCCCCAGCCTTGCCTTTGTTGCCCAGAATTGCTTTTGCTGTTTAGGTCTCTTCTGATTGCAAATGAATTTTAGGATTGTTTTCTGTAGTTCTGTGAGGTGTACTATTGATATTTTGCTCGCGATTGCATTAAATCGGTATAACAGTTTTGGAAGGATGGCAATTTTCACTATATTGGTTTTTCCTACCCAAGGGTGGGGGATATCTATTTCCTGATATCTTCTTCCATCTCCTTTTCCAGAGTACTGTAGTTTTCAGTGTAAAGGTCCTTTTTTTTCTTCATTAGAGAGATTGCTAGGTACTAATTTTTTTGCATGTTATTGTGAAAGGTATTATTTTCCTAATTTCTCTCTCAGTGATTTGTTATGTGTGTACAGAGATGCTATTGATTTTTGAGTGTTCACTTTGTATTCAGCTACACCACTGAATTTGCTTATTAAATCCAGAAGTCTTTTGGTGGAGTTTTTGGGGTCTTCTATGTAGAGTATTATGTTATCAGCAAATACAGATAATTTAACTTCTTTTCCAATTCTTCTTTTATTTATTTCTCTTGTCTAGTTGGTCTGGCTAATGTTTCCAGAACTGTATTGAACAAGAGCAGTGGTAGTGGCATCCTTGCTTTGTTCCTGATTTTAGAGTGAAAGCTTTCAGTTTTTGACCATTTAGTATGATGGTAGCTGTTTGTCATAGATGGCTTTTATCAGATTGAGGTAAAGACCTACTATTCAAGTTTTCTGTAGGGTTTTTATCATGAATGGGTGTTGATTTAAATGCTTTTTTTGCCTCTATTAAGATGATCATATGGTTTTTTTCCTTGGTACTATTAATGTGGTATATTACATTTATGGATTTGCATATTTTCAACCATCCCTGCATGCCTGGGATGAATCCTACTTGGTCATGGTGTATAATCTTCTTAATGATTTGCTGCATTCTGTTTACCAGTATCTTGTTGAAGATTGTTGCACGTGTGTTTATGAAGGAGATTGGCCTGTAGTTCTTTTTTTTGATGGTCCTTCTCTAGTTTTGGTATCAAGGTAATGCATGCTTCCAGAAATAAATTTGGGAGTATTACTCTTCTTTCAATTTCATTAAAGAATTTGAGGAGTAGTGACATTAGGTCTTCTCTAAATTTCTTATAGAACTCAGCTATTAATCTATCAGGGTGTGGGCTTTTCCTTGTTGGTAGATTTTTAATTAGCTCTTCAGTTTCATTGACTGATAGTGGTTTATTTAGAATTTTTATATCTTCTTGATCCAGCTTTGCTAGTTCATGTTTCTAGGAATCTCTCCATGTCTTCTGTCTTTTCCACCTTATTAGAATAGAGGTTCTCTAGGTATGTATTGATGATCTTCTGGATTTCCACAGGATTTTTGTGATTTTACCCTTTTTCATTCCTAATTACATGGATTTGTATTTTCTTTCCTTTTTAAAATAAGGTTGCCTAGGGATTTCTCAATTTTATTTAATCTTTTAAAGAACTAACTTTTTGATTCATTGATTCTTTGTACTGTTTTCTTAGTCTCAACTAAGAATTTCTGCTCTGATCTTCATTTCCTCCCTCCTACATGCTTTGGTTTTGACTTCCTCTTCTTTTTCTAAAAGCTTCAGGTTCAACATTAGGTTGTTTCCTGAGCTCACTCTGTTTTTCTAATATGGAAATCCACCACTATAAATTTCCCTCATAGGAC